GTGAGGGCAGGCACCTGAGTCTGATGGAGTTTTGCAGTAGGGGACAGTAATGAATATGAGTGGTGAATCAGTTAAATGACAGATAATTCCTCCTGGAAAACTCAAAGAGCCACTGGACTGGAGCTGATGTAGGTCTGTGAAGCAGTAGCTGCTTTGAGTAGGTGCTCAGGAGCACCTTGTGCTGGCAGTCAGAGGTACCAGCGCTAGGAGGTAATTTGGAACATAAAACCCCTCTGCTATTACTGTCTGTACTTAGGTATATAGCAGGAATGCCCCTTCCAGTACTGCTCAGAAGGCATAGAATATGCTAAGCAACTGTTAAAGGGAAAGAAATAATGTGTGGCAGAGAGAGATGAAGGATATACATAAAAATATATAGGAGACCCTTCTGATGGAAATGTGAAATGTGACATTTTTGTGCCTGTGATGCTGCAGAGTGCGGTGGCTGTGCTGGTGGCAGGGCTGCAAAAGGGTTGTTTTTTTATTAAGGGCAAACAAAATGAGGGCAAAATTTTTTAACTTGAGGAATTTTGTGGTACTGGGAGGAAAATTACTGCATGCCCTGGTACAAAAGAACAGGGGTAACGAACACAGTGTGCTGGGAGTTGCAGCTGTGTGTGCAACAATGCTGTGCATACATTAAGTGCCCACCACGTTGTCAGGGCGAGTGACAGCAGTGACTGAAGGCCAGGCAGGAGCTCCTGTCAGCGCTGGGCAGAGTCACAGCACTCTAATAAAGAAGTCTATTCCAGTTGCATCTGACATGGACATCCAGAGCCTCTGCTTTGGGGAATTTTATTTATTTTGACCTAGGGAAGGCTGTTGAGCTGCTCCATTGGGTATAAACCTCTTCCCATTGCAGTTAGACAAACCCATCCATACTGGTTCATCAGGATGGAATCTTCTGCTCTCTCTTTCCTTTCTGTATCCTTTTTTTCTCTCCTGTGGGACTTTACTGTAGGAAGGACAAAAATAAAAGCATAGGGATAGCTCTTCTGGAGCTGTGCCTTGTATGCTCTGACCATTTGTGAAGTTATTCCATTAGGGGCATTAGAGTCGTGGAAGTCTGAGGTTTTGTGCCTACAACTGTGCACCAATTTGTGCAGAAAAGGGACTGCACTGCCCCAAATTTCTCCTGCCTCCCCAGGAAAACCCTTCAAAGGCCAAATCAGAATATTTAGGCCATGTCCCAGTTTGATTTAGGTAGGTCTGTGTGTGATTTACCCTGGGCTGAGCATATCCAAGGCAGGAAGGTAAACATCCCATTGTGCTGGATTTGATGAAAGAAAATCCTGGAAAACCTTGTGCTTTTCTAAGAAAACTGCCAGAGGCAGATTATTAGGTCTGAATTAAAATGCAGAAGAGATTCATTAAATTGTTGACCCTGCCCCCTCCAAAAAAAAAGTCAGGTTGCCATCTTAAATTGACAGCATTAGAGACAAATTATATGCACTGATTAATAAGTGTGGGCTAAATTACAGCTCAGAGAGTGGTTGGAGTGCAGCAGGAACATGAGCGAGGGAGGAAGTGCAGGAGGCAGAAGCCACCCTGCCTGTGGGCACGGAGCAGTGCCAAGGGCTGGGGGTCCTGTGGCACCAGGGATGATGGAGGAAGCAGCAGGAGCATGAGCATCCTCCAAGGAACCCATTCCCTCTGTGACACCCTGGTTGCCAGCCTGCTCACCTGGGACATCGGTGCTCCTAATCTGTGCTGAGCTTAGGGACTGTGTTTCCCCTTGGGGTTGGGGGAACTTTGCTTTCAAAAAAGGAAAAAAACCACCCAAAACTTGGATGGGCTGGTTTAGTAAGTTAAATTAGAAAGGTAGTGTAAACTAGAGACTTAAGAAACTAATTTCTATCACACTGGGGGGGAAAATATATTGACCATTTCAGCCTTTCAGATGAAAAAGGGAAAAAACAGGCATAATAGCACATGGATTACTCGCAAGACATAGTTCTTTGCAAACACTATGACCGGTACATAAATAGCAAAATGAATGTTATTAGCATGTTAATTTTACTAACCCTTTAACCTATTGATTAGGCAAACAGAAGGAAACAGCATCTTTTTATGCTTCAGGCCCCCCCCCCCCCTTGCTTTTCATGTAATTGGATTCAAATTCACATCTGTAGCTACTAAACCAATGTTTTCAACCTTTCTTCTACACCTCCCCACCCCCAACTGTTTAACCTCCCATCTCCAGCGCTGGCATAAATGTAAGCCTTTATTTGTGAATATTCCAATAAGCACTTTGCCTCCAACTATATTGTTCAAGTACCAGCATCATTGTTACAGCTGTAATTGTTACTATCAAGACACAGTTCTTTGTAATTAGAAAGTCAAGATGGTATTCAGCAGTATGGCAGCACAGATTCTCATTTGTTAGGCTATTAGAAAAAAAATGTTTACAGAGAAAACAGTGTCATTGTTTAGTGCTCTTAATTGACCATCTGCCTGGTAAAGAAATGTCCAAAGAAGGATAAATAAGACTATAGTGCACTTATTTATTTATTTTCTTTGTGCAATGAGTAAATTAGGAAAAGCAACAGCAGATCCAAACTAGGCAAGACATTGCTAAATCAGGCTGCAAGTGAAATCATGTCATGAATACATTAACTTTTATTTCTCTCAGTGTCAAGACTCATGTCTGCATCTTCCTCAAAGTTTGTTGGGAAGAAAAAGGAGGCCAGATCTTGGTGGGCACTGTGGAGTTGACAGCATTCATCTTTTAACAAAGTCAAGCATATGCTGCTTTGAGTGCAGCATCTTTGCATGCTCAATGACGTGTTTAATGTCACCTTTCCCACTGTAAATCATCCCTGAGTAAATCCACAAGGGAGAGTGGTACTAGGAATTAAGCAGGAGAGGAATAAAATTCATGACCATGTGGTTCTATCTGAGGGAATTTGGTACGTATTGACAAGAGAGATTCACACCTGACGGGGCCGAGAGCTAATTTGTAGTAGGGTTGTTTATCTTCTGCCTGAAAGGAATACTTTTTCATATTTAATGTGCATTTTCCTCATCTCCATGTGTGTATGTGTTTGTGATTTAGCGTGGCTAAGGGTGCATCTGCTTTTGCTGCTTGGCAAAAATGTAGTTTCAAATTTCTCGCTAATTCCAAATTCTGAGTTTTCCCTATGAAAAAGTAAAGGAGGCACAGTTTGGCCTTCAAAAACCAGATTTGATGTTTCCATTGCACAAGTCACTGTCTTAAGTAGGGAGTATTTGATCTGTTCTTGTGCAGTCTTGAAATGAGAAATGAAAAAACCCCAACAGTATTACCATGCTAAACCAATATGGTAAATGACCAAACTGATCTTTTGTACTATTTGTCTTCCAACATTCCAGGTGGAAATAAACCAGTACATTTATATGTTGATTTATTACAGTGTGGAGTTGGGAAAAAAAATAGAGAAGCAATAGGGGGAAAAAACAGGAAAAGGAGAATGCATTTATAAATAATAATAATTTCTCAAAACATTACCAGCAAGAGGAGCCCCAGTTCTGCCTCCCCCCTGGTGACTGCAGGGTCCATGCAAAACTGCCACCATTCAGATGGTGTCAGGGGACAGAGCCAGTGACAATAGTCATGGTGCAGATTGGGAAAATTTCCCAATTCTTCAGAAGCTGACAGTGTTTTAGCCATCAGTTTTTCAAAGTGAATTTCTCTCCATAAAACCTATCCTTTGATGCCTTCACCGATTCCTCAGGTGCATCATCCTTTGTCCATCTGTTCCTATTGAAACTTTCTGTTTATCCATCTCCCCCTGATTGCTGTACTAAATACTGACCCTAATATTTTTTTTTCTTCTTCTTCCTTGGGTATTCACTCTTATGCACAGATTTATTTTTTCTTTGAGTTTTGAGGGAGTACCTCAAAATCTTGCTTTCCTACCTGATGGCTTTTGAGAAGGAGTGGTAGCTAATGGAACCTATGCAACATTTGTCTTAAAAAACACCAACCAAAACCCAATGCTTCTAAATTTAGAATTTTCTTATTCTCCCATTTCTTCAGATTTTTCACTAGTGCCAACTGCATTTTTTTCAGAGAGTGGTGACCCACCTTCTCACTATTTTTTTTTTTTTTTTTTGCTTTCCAGTAGGGAATATAACTAATATAATGACTTCCATTCAGGAGGTGCAGGAAGGTGAGAAGTGGGCAGAGCTTCCAGGATGTGGAACCTTTTTCCTGTCCTGGAGGCACACACAATTCTGGGTTCCAAGACCTTTCTTTGATCTCTCCTGACCTGGAACCGATGGAAGTAGTGAGACTGGAAGCCTGCTCAGATGTCTTGTGTGGATGAGGTCCCCATTCCCTTATCCTTAGTGCTCGATGTGCTTATTGCCACCGCCCCTTTCCTTAGTGTTGGGTCAATTTGAAAAGTATTCCATAGTGACTCCTTGCAGGTGGTTTCACAAAGTGCCCCTGTACCCTGCCCCTGCACTGGGCACCCACATGCCACCTTGTGCCTCCTGGCACCCACATGCCACCTTGTCCCTGCTGGCACCCACATGCCACCTTGTCCCTGCGTCCCCTCTGTGTGTGCTCTGGAGAAGCAAGCAGAGTGAGCAGCTCAGGAAAATCTGATTGACACCAGTAGTTTTAAGCTTATGCATGTCTAGCTGCTTGTTCAATTTGTTTAGTCCAGTGGTCTCCTTTATTAGGAGCCTTAGGGTTTTACTTTTGATTTGGCAGGATGATTATAATGAGAGCTTCTTAGTGCTACTCCACCAGGGTATCTGCCCACTGCTCTCAGCCTCTGCTGTATAGCTTGTGATTAATTTAAAACAGTCAGATGCCCTTCAGATCAGTCAAATTTGGGGATTCTATTATAAACATGAAAAGCATGCTGACCGCACAAAGCCCTTGGTGGTACCAATTCAGTTGGCACTTCTCATGCTGCTGCTTTTTTCCTTTTCATGTTTTCCTTTTTTGGCTAATCTATTCCATGGCACTGCTGGCCCTGCTGCCGCCACGCACCTGTGCCATGCTCCAGCCCCAGGCATGGTTCCTCGGCCAACGGGGAAGCACCTTGCCCTCCCCTCTCGCTGCCCGGTTTCTGTGCCTCAGCTCCTGCTCCATCTGGCCAGACGTGAGCGGTGGGATTTGGGTCCAGGCTGTCTTCGTGTCACCGTGTGGGGACAGGCAGAGCCGCCTGCGCTGCCCCCCGCAGAAAGCCCTGTCGTGTCCCCTCCCCGCCGCTGCAGAGGCTCCGGGCTGCCACCGCAGATCATTTGACAAATTTCACGGTAAGACCCCAGCTTATCTTCATTATCTTCTTATTTCAGTCAGTATTCCAAGTATTCCTTGAATGTCATAAGTGAAGAGCTGGAATGCGCACAAAGTGTCCAGTGTTAAATCCTATTTACATGCAAAAGTTGTGCCAGTTTTACCCTGAGGTTAAATCAGTGCAAACCCCTTCTGTGAGGACTCTTCTAAACTAATGAGAATGACCTCCCATAATTTCTTTAATTAAAGAACAACAGCCACCTAAATCAAGATAAAACATGCTTCATATTAAATAAGGTTGGCCAAGCAAATGGGTTTGCATTGCTTGAAGTGCTGACTCCTCGCTTTACACTGACTGAATCCCACAGATGCTTTGGACAGAGCCAGTCCCAGGCCTGGCTTCTGACTCTGCAGCAGTGAGAGGATGTCACACCTGCCCCTCTAAAGGCAGCACAGGCTGCCTCTGCCTGTGAGGTGGCCAAGGTCTCTCTCCAACATAGACCCTTTGTGTTAAATCCCATGCACCACTTCTGGTATTCCACAAATCCATACAAACTAGGCAAAAAAAGTGTTTTTTTTCATGCAAGTTACTCCCCCCACCACTACTCTGTGTTTGTCAGAAAGGAATAAAACTGCACCATATAAAAGCAAAGAGAAAAATCCTTTATTTTTGAAATTTTATCTTCCACAGGCAGGTTTTTCCTTGCATAAGACTCTCCGTAAATCTGAGGTCTTGTAACTTTGATCTATTCACCCCCTGCCTACAACACAGACTCCAATCCCACCTCTTCCTTAATGGACTGTATAGAATTGAGGAACACTTGTGTAAGAAAAAAACCTCGGTACTGGTTCCTTATTTCTCTGCTCATTTCTTAAATTTAAAAAAAAAGACTTTAAGAAGCTATTCTGAGTACACTTTTTAGTTGAGAAGGCAAGAGCCACTCCCCTTCCTTTCACTGCTGATTCCTGTTTATGAAGGGATTATGTCACTGTCCCCATCAGTGTTCAGGGGCTGCTGGAAGGGGCTCAAAGCCCAGCAAAACCAACCAGCAAAGTTACCCCGTCAGGGTGTGCCTGAGTCTGTATCTTGCTGCAACAAAACGTTAGAAACAAAATCACTGTGATTAATCCCAGCAGAAAATGTGGGCAAAACCAGAATGTGATTTTCTTCTCAATCAATATTATGGAGCTCCCACTGATCTTTTAATAATGTTTTGCTTATGGATGAAAAGATACTGAGGACCCAGTATATTACAGTCATTCATGTTTAGACCTGTGAATGAACCCCAAAATAATCGTCATGTTTTGTTGCCTGCTCCACATATACACTCATCTTACTTGTATATAAATTAAAGATAAACTGCATTTAATCCTGTTAAGCATTAAAATATGAGTAAACAAATTGACTAACAAAATACAGGGGGATGGCAGAAAAAGAAAATAAGCTCAGAAAATAATTGGTTCTAAGGAAGTTAATGAAAGTTTGTAGCATGCTTTTTATATGAATAGAGTTCAGAAGAGATTATTTTTTTGAAGTGTTACTCACAAATCTCCCATATCCACAATAGATCTTTTGTTAACTGTACCTGCACATTTATTGTGTATGACAGCCTAATAAAATGAAGTAATTTTAATAAACATTGTATCAGAATATCCTGTCTTCTATGTGGCACTGCGAATTTCCACTACTGAAGGAAACATTTAACATTCTCACCATTTTAATACTTTTAATAAATATTTGCAATTCCTGTGATAATGCATAATGGCATAAAAATGCATTGCCTCCAAAATTTATGTGGCTGCTGGCAGGTGGCCATTTTCCAATTTTCTGTCTCACTAATATACATTTATTATGTATTTCTAAGGGCTTTTCTTTTCAGTATTTGGCTTGCCATAAAATTGCTATTTCTTTTACAAGAGAAAGTGCTCGTGACAAAGAAATCTCAATTGAACCCAAACCTGACAAATGGACATCTGCTGGCCAAGCCAGAGAAGAAAAACATTTGCCCGACGTAGCTCTCAGTTTGATGCCTTCCCATCAGCCACAGCCATAATATGTTTGGATCAGAGGCTTGCATTCTGAACTGCTAACAAGAATCAGCCCTTGCTTAGTAATATTTCCTGAAGTGTGACATTGTGTTGCATCATGTTACCCGTGACACGACATGGAATAACATCACATTACATTATGGGTTATGACATAGGCAAGAAGAAGAAGCAAGTTAATACCATGCATTACATTTTATTTTGTATAAATTGCAGGAGCAGAGTGTACGATGAGCTGTGAGTGGTCTCTTCTGTGCTGGCTTTGTGCAATTTATACAACAGCCATCGCTATAGTACCTGAGCATCCACCAGCATATAATTAAACCTCTATTGATGGCTGAAATCCTTGAATCTCTCACTAAGCACATATCGTTCTCTGTGTTTAAGTAGCAGCATTCATTTGAAGAGCCAGGGAGCAGGGACTAAGCATGAAGCCTCAACAGGCAATAAGAAGTGGTAAAACTACTGAGATGATGCATTCTTACCCTCTCAATGCAAGGAAGCTGATTTTGTGAAGCTCTTTATAGCATTCACAGCAAAGCAGGGGATATCCTGTGTCATGGAGCATGTGCTTCTTGAGGATCCTTTCTGGTAGCAAATGATGCTCAGAGAGTGTGATTTGTTATCAGAGAAGCTGTCTGTGATGGACAAGATAGAAGGGCACTGAATAAATATCTACAGCTCTCAGGAACTGAAACATTCAGTTTCAGTGCAGGAGATGGAAAGAAATATCTCAAATAGGCAGAGGAACAGAACCTCGTTACCAAAGGTGACTGCAAATTCAGTAGTTTTTGTTTTGTTTTGTTTTTTTTTTCAAATCTGTGAAGCAACAGAATAATCCAAATAAAATAATATATTGTATATTAAGTTTTGCAGTAATAAGCCTTGTTTAAACTAATTCCTGGAATGATGAATGCAGTCCCCCTAGAAGAGGCTACTGTACAAGAGGTTTAATTTCTGATTTGATGGGGAATTATGGGCAGCTTGCTTCATAGTCTGCAGTTTTGGTTTTCCCTTTACTTGACCTATTTTGGCCCCAGCTCAGGGAAGAATCATTATTTGGGAAAGTGCTTACTGGACTTACTGTGAATGTCTCAGGGCTTTCCTGAATCACCCCTGGAGATCCTGCGGCACTGGATATGGACAAGACAAAAGCACATTTTTCATTGATGATGATGGGCTCATGCCAGGACTAAAACTGCAGTTTAGAACTGGCCAGGTGGAAAATTTCTGTGTATTTTCTTTTTAACTGAAAATTTAACTTGTCTAATTCTTCTTCATCAAATAATCTATTTCTCTATTTTGAAGCTAATTCAACTGAATTAGGTGCAAACTTTGCAAATTTTTACCAGAATTTCCCGGCTGTCCAAAAACTTACAGTTAACCTTGAATATCTGCCCAAAAATAAAATTATTTTTAACACATAGTAGTATATGACTATTTAAGCTAACTAACTTTACACATGTGTATTTTATTAATACATTAATATATAGTTATAAAAATATTTATAATAGTGTGATTTATTATAGAGATTATACATTATAGGATATGGTATAATACAAATAGTATTATATTGAAATACATAATTAGTATTAGGGATTCAAGAGAATAAAACCCCATGATTTTTCTTTACAAAGGAACAGGCCCCTTTTACTCTCTTCCTGATGCTTAGGTCAGTGGCAAAGTGTAGATTTTTCTACATAACTTGTTTCTTTCTTGGTCTAATTGATTTCCTCCTGAATTTGCAGCAAGTGCTGCCTTTTCAGGAGTGCTTTGCAGCCTTGCTGCCATGCAATACTTTGTTGTGCTCAATCCATCTTACACTAGAGACGTGTCTGTGCTTTGTTTGCATTTGTTTTATGAAGTGGAGGACATGAAGGTTCTGTGTCGCTCATGTTCAATGTGGGTTGATAAGAACCAGATATTTGAAGAAATGGAGAAAAGCAGATTAAAGATTTCCTGTGCCCTCATGGCCAGTTTTCTCTTAGATGAAATGAAGGATTTGCGAGTGGGCACAAGTGAGTGATACAATCACATTTCTAGCAGAAAGTTTAACAATATCAGTGAGCTGCATCTCAGCATTTTTGATAAATATTGTCTTCTGAGAAGAATTAATGTATGTCTTACTCTTGCTACTGATTTCATCCACATCAGTGAGTTTAATTTGCTTGCAAAAGATTTCTCAGAAGTAACTTTTCCTTACAAAGGGTTGCCATTAAAAAAAAAGAAAAGAAACAAACCCCTACAAAAACAAGCAAAGAAAAATACCTGATGACAGGGGAAATGGTGGCAGTTCTCCATCAATCTTCTTAAGTTCATACATTTTATAAGTATTTAATGTGATACCTTGTAGGAATAGGCAGCAGCAGGTGACTGCAGTAACTTTGAAGAACAGCTTTTTTCTGTCACTTCTTTTCCAGTGTGGCCCAACAGCGTTCCTAACAGAAACCACTCGCACAGCATCCCCATTTCTCTTAGGAAAATCAGCATAGATTGGTAATAATGCAGAGCAACATACAATTAAAAATTAATAGCAAAATGATTACATTATTCTCTTCTAGCAGAAACACCCCTCTACCCTATAACAAAGGCCTTTAAAGCACTTTGGCTGTTTTCCAAAAGAGCTGATTAATACTGCACCTAGCACTGCTGCTTGCTGTGCCAGTCAGGAGTTGCTGAGTGTCTGTCGAGGAAGCGGGCAGCCGGGAAGGCTCTGCTCCACTCCCCGCACCCTCAGAGCGCTGCTGGTGCCCGCCAGGAGAAGCTGCTCAGCTGGCAGCAGTGTGGCAGGGCAGCCCTTTGGATTATTCTAGAAACCTGTGACATTCCAACTGAGAGACAATGTGTGGGGAAGCTGGGTGAGAGAGGAATTGCTTTGCTCGACTCCAAAACAAAGGCTTTGCAGTGTTACACATATTATTCTGATCACAAAAGTATCCTCCATTAGGGCTTTCAGCCTGAGATAATTGACCTTGACATTACTCTCAGCTGTGGGCACACAACTCTTGGTGCAGTGACTTACCTTGAAGAACAGCATGCAACTGCACAGAATGTTTACTTACTGGCTTTTTTTTAATTCTTGAAAACTGTGCACTGCAAGGACAAGTAGGCAGAAGTGTAGTCAGGGATAGAAGGTATTTTATGTGGATGAACACATGAAGAGGTGATTATGTGTTGCTAAAAGTCTAATCCCTGGATAAACTACAGTTTGCTATTAATTCTTTGGACTTGCTTAGCTGCTACTTAACATTTCCACGACTTAACAATTATATTCTTGAGCTAAGAGTAACTTTTCAACAAAATGTGTAGGGATTAGAAACATTGATAATTATATTAATTAATATTAATAGGAATGACAATATTTGTAGTCATATGACAAACATAAGGAAAGCAGGGCTTTAATTTTATCAATTAATTCTGTTTCTAATTGCTTTCACTCTTCAATTGTCAGAACGTGTTCTCCTTGCAACAAGGAACGTATTAAGCAGGAAAAGCACAGACCAGAATTAAGGGGAAAGAAGGCTCTGTGCTTGCACATATGGTGCTGTCTGTTATCCAGAAGCATATTGAGCCTTCTCTATGGGCTTTGGATTTTTCCTCTATTTGTTGTAAGTGCCCATCATCTGGAGTAATGGGTTCAGTCTCATTGAGCTGGGTTAGTAGGCAGAGAGGCTGGTCAGGAGCAGGGAATGCCACTGATTGAAGAGCTTTCCAAATTGTCAACTGGTCCTTCTTCCCACACCTTCCCATAGGTGCAGGATGAGCTCTGGACAACAAGGCAAGCAGGCCTTGGAAAAGAGAGCTCAGCATGTGCATCTACAGTGACTCCTCAGATTTAATACCTTTGATGGGCTCCAAGCTGTCTCTGGAGGAAGGCAGGGAGCTGCAGTCCATTGGCCTTAATCCTTCCCTGTGCTCCTGTATCTTTATACTGCTCCACCAGCTCCACACCACTGTAAAACCAACAGAATCCACCCTCGGCTCCCTGGAGCGAGGGAAATCCCTCACCAGGCCCCTTGCTGAGCGCTGCAGCTGCTGCAGAGGCTTCCAGGCACCAGGAGCAGGGCAAACCCCTCCCTGCAGATGGGTCTAGAGCCCTGAGATGCTGCTCCTGCTTGGTGTCCCCACAGGCTGGGGCTGTACAAACCCCAGCCCTAAGGGTGGAGGCCTGGAAGTCCCCATGTTAATGTCCTGAGGCTGCTCTTAATGCAGTGAGGTTTCCCCCTGCACAGAGCCCTCACCACACAGCCATCCAAGAGGCCGATAAACCAAGCAATGATGATCTCCTGGGGCAGCTGCAATAAACAATCCTGCCAGCTAAGAATGGTGCCTTTGATGGCTCTGCAGGCGAGAGCTCAGCCATCTCTCAGCTGCTGAACCCCAGCTCGCTGCCGTCGCAGGCTGTGCCAGATGCTCCTGCAACGCTTCAGGGGCTGCTCTTCCTCTCAGCTCATCCCTCCTCTGCTCCTCCTCAGCACTGCACCCCTGCAGGGCTGCGAGGATCTCACCAAGCACTGTACAGGGAAGGGACACTGTCACCCAGCACATTCTGCTTTAGTGGCCTCTGGCTTCTCCCAGATTACCTGGGAGAAGCTGCTGCTGCCTGCTCAGCTGTGCAAAGGTTGGTATCTACTGGGCTGGGGAGTTCCTCACCAACACCCCAGTAAATCTGGGGGATTTGCTGATGAGGATGAGGGAATACCCCCAATTAATTTGCTTCTTTTGGGTTGGAGACCTTGCCCCTGCCATTCCCCTCCTTGTGGACATGTGATGCTGATCCCCAGCATCTATGCATCTATGCATATTTTTAGGATAATATCAGGCACAACTCCGTCTTGTTGTGCAAGCCACATCATCGTCAAAAGGCACTGTCAGGGTAGATTCACATCTTCTGTGCTGGTATAAACGTTGCTTCTTCCCCATATCCTCTTCAGAGGATCCTCTTCAGAATTAGCCCTTTGGTGTTTGTCTCCACTACTCTGGGATGGACCTGGGAGCCTTTGCTTTTCCCTGTCAGGAAGCACAGGTTTAACATATCGAACGCACCAGAATTGCTTAATGAGTGCTCAGTGAACATTAATAAAAGTTTGGACGTGACTCAGGCTACAATGGCTGAGAAGTCTGAAAGCTTTGGTTCAAGATTATAGGAGGCTGTGAGAAAATATGGTATCCAGCAGCTAGCATATAGTGTAGATATTTCACTATCCAGGGATCTCTAATTACTAATAATGTACAGGAACAGTATGATATGTTCTTACAATTGCAGAATCCTTTTCAAAGATAATCTTTAATAGTTTATTTGACAACCTGTAAAATTATAGAAAATTATTAGTCTTGGGAATTACCAAATTCCCCATAGTACAGTCAAACAATAAAATTATAATTACCTGTGGGTAATTGAAATTTAACTGTTTTTTATTGTATATTACACATCAATAGCAACATAAGTTCAAGAGTGTCCCCCTCCCCTCCCTTTTTTTTTCCCTACAGAAGTGGGGAAAATGGACAACCCTGCTGGTATCTTGTGAGCCCTTGTCACAGAACAGAGCTTGAAAAATTTCGATTAAAGCAGTATGTTCGAGACTGTCATTAGGCCTGCGCTAAATTACATATCTGGAATGTTAAAAATAAAGAATACTGAAGCTTATTCACAGCTTCCTGTGGTAAAGTATGTAGTCAAGGTTTTTATTATCTTTGAAGTTCTTATTTTTCTCTTTTCTAAAACTTATTGTTTCATCAAACAGCACATTTAAGAACAGTGTGAGCACACGAGCAGAATTGCTGGAGCTGGATAAAGCATTAGCGTGTTTCCATTCTGTGCTCAGTTGTATTGTTTAGTACTCACAATGGTAATTTATCAATTATACACGAGGGAACAAAGCCCTTCACTGTCTCACAGCTCCAGAAGTACCTGGTACTAGGCTCGAAGCTGGAGACCCTCTCAAACCTTGGAAGGCACCATTTACCATGAGCATTTGCAGGGCCAGCCTTTGCCTTGTCCCCTTGCAGTGACCCCATGGAGGCTGCTCAGTACTCAGCTCCAAGACTTCCATGGCTTTTTTCCTAAACCAGGAAAATTATAACCTTTTTTTTCTTCTTTCTGACCCAGGGACCTTGATAATGAGACATCACAGCTTGTTCTTGTCTAGTCGGTGACACCATCCAGTCCCTCTTGTTGTGTAATTTGTGGTGGCTTTACAGACTTTCACACCAATCTGAAGGACAAACCCCAGGCTTTTGGATGCTGCTCAGCCAGGACAAACCCCAAAACGTGGTATGTTTGACAGTTACTTGTCTATACAGCAGCTTTGTTACGCACTGCTGAGATGCACAAAATCCTCTATAGAAGGATCAGACTGGCTACTTCCATTTGATTCCGTAAAGTGCTTTGTGGTCATTATGTGAATATAACAGCACAAGTAAAAATATCACTGTTTTATTAAGAGTTTCAGTTAAAGTGTTTAATACACAGATTTTATTGTGAGAGAGCATCACAAAGACTGAGTACAACATAATGGCAAGCCCGGTATTGTTATGATTATCATTACTATTATTTATATATGATCACTGAAGTACTAAGTGAAAACTGGGAAGTGGAGTTCCTGAATCCCATAGAGCTCATAGTAACAGCTGTTTTTGGAAGATGCAACAATAGCAGACCAGCTCTGCTTCATGGAACAATTAATGGTGCATACAGCCCAGTCTGGAAATTCCTGATCCCGAATGGGTTTTCCCATTTTCAAAGATCAAAGGTAAAAATTCAGTTGGATCCTGCCTTTTTTTTTATTCTGGTGCCTCTTACTCTTCCCACTGCATCTTTTCTCTGCCTGTTGGTGTGAAGGGCACTCCTGCACATTAGAACTGTGATGTGTCTGTTTATCCAGCAAAGGAGATGGAAACTCCTCATCCAAGTGGTATTTGAATGCCTTTGCAAGGGAGAGATATTCTGCCTTCCTCACTTGCCCTTCTCATTGGAGATTTTTAAGTGTCTTGGCCTCCCAAAATATCAAGTGGAGCTTTTGATTGAGATTTAAACCAAGTGTAAATCTTTGAAAAGCAGAAAGCCCAAGAGGAGCTGTATCACCAGAGGAGTTAATGGGCTGAGCTGAGCAGGGCAGAGGCAGGACTGGCCCAAACCCCTGGTCCTTACACCAGTGAGCCATGACCTTGTGCAACACACAGAGCTCTGAGAGCCAAAGCTCTCAGCTTTGGCTATTCCCTAATCCTGACCCTCAACCAACACCTGAAGGCTACAGAAAAGTTTTTCTCCATCCTTATCTTGGCAATCATTCCCTGGCAGATTCCAGCTGCTGAGCTAAACACCCTAAAAAATAGTTGTTTTCCAGTAGGATTTATATAGATGGGATGCTTGGAAGTTAAATCTTCCAGCCACCACAGTGCACCATAGTGTAAGACAAAGAGCAGGAGATAAATTTTCCTTTGAAATTCCTGCTCGTGTCACTTTCTGAGCAAATTTTTACCATTTTGACTCTGGTGAGAAGAGCTATTCCAGTGTGAGCCTCTTACTCTGCACTGCAGTGCAGGGATGAAGCTAAGGATGAGCAATTGGAGCGCTGTCAGGATTACACCCAGGTCAGATTTTTCATTCTGCTAAAAGATGCTTTTTTGTCATGGGAATCAGGAAAATGCATTGATGTAATGTGTTGAAAAGGACCAAAAGGTTGTTATTTGCTCCCACCAATACAGAGAGACACAGCCCTCCTGTAAAGCAAAAATATCTTCCAGTGAAAACACAAACTTTGACACTGAGTGCAACATAATGGGAGGGGCAAGAGGGTCTTTGGGGAGCTCCACAGGGAGAGGGGGCTTTCCATGGGCTTTTTTTGCTCCTCTCTGTAGAGTGAGCTCACAAATGTTTGGGTAGAGAAGGTAGCATGCATCCAGATTTTAAAATAAATAAAATAAAAGGGATTGGCTATTATTTTTTTCTCATGGATGAGGTTATAAGGTTAATAAAAGAGTTAATCCCAGCCTGCTCTGCAAAAGGGAACAGCTCACATTTGTGAGACTTCAAAAGGCTGTATATGGATGTTGAGATTTCCTGTTAAGGCTATCCCAAGAAGATGGAGGCTGGGAGCTGATTTTTGGAAGAAGAGTTTGGCCTTTAACTAAATTAGTTGGAGTGAAAATAAAAAGGCTAGTATAAAATGATTTTGAGAGTAAACTCCAATTCAATAAAATTCTGGGGTTTTTTCCTTCTTTTTTTCCCTATGAAAATCTAAAATTAAAACTGACTAGAGAGCAGTGGAGGCTGACCAGAGCATTTCAACCAGATGGTCCAGAGGATCTGGTTGGGTTTTTCTTGTTGGTTGTTTTTTTTTAAATAATTACATTACTTTAATTTTTAAATGTTAACTGTTTCAAAGGAAAAATAAAAGTCAATATAGGAAACATTCAGCAAATTAAAACAAACCAAAGCAAAACAGGTAAGTATAGTAGGGAGAAGAATATTATAGTTTTACTGAATGGTTTGGCGGAAACACAGAAGACCTGGAGAGGATTCTGCCTGACAATCAATCTTGTATTCAGACAAGGGAAATGTGGCCCAAGCTCTCTTGCTCAGTCTTTAGTCATCAGACAAACACGTTACCAGGGGTGCTGCTGCCCTTTTTCTGAAGTGCAGTTTTTGTCGCTCGCCATTTTCAGGGATTTGCTCCGCCTGCTCCATGGCGCAGCTGGGATAGCAGCAGGCCAGGCCAGAGCCGTGAGTTACAGACGGGCTCTTCTTGCTGGTGCAGGTGGTGCAGGACACACCTGAGCACCGGCCCTGTGCCTGTGCCTGTGCAGGAGGGCTGGGACTCTCCTGGTCCCCAGGCAGCTCTGCCCCGGGCCCAGCTGATACAGCACCAGGCAGTGATTTACAAGGAGAGCTGGGTGTCCATTTGCTTCCCAGCATTGAGGGAAATGATTATTGCACAGCATAGAAAATTACCTCAGGCCTTGTCAGGCTTTTCTGGAGAAATAAATTCCACAGCCTGGGTTCCTTATATCCTTTCCTGGCTTGGTGTCCCCCTGCACAGCTAAGAGTCCATGCTCAGACACAGAGTAAATGTTATAGTCGATATCCCTCAGCAGAGAAACTGCACTGCAATTTCTTTTTTTCTTACCTTTTTTCCTCTTGTGCGAGGCTCCTGTACTACCAGCTAACCATTTCCTTTAAGAAAATGGCATTGTGTTAAAGTTATATAGTGTATCATATTAAATTTTATAACAGTGCTTTGTGTTTTGAAAAGACTTTGGGGGAAAACAGCATCAATCAGGGAACCACACTTGATAGACTTGGAAGGGGCCTCCTGGGTCATTTTGTCCAAGACCTCTATGAAGCAGGAAAGCTTCTGCAAAATACCTTTCCCGTAAATGTATCTAACCTTTCCTTAAAGACACTGAGTGATGGTGCCATAAATACCTCAAGCAGCTAAACCAGTCTGATTGACCTTACGATCAGAAAGTGTCTTCTAATACTGTATAGAAGGTACAATTTTCCATTCTTCCAGCTGCAGCTAAGCAAGAAAAAAGGGCAAATACACAGTAATGGCCAACAATACAGACTGTGCAAACAGTTTTACTTTCACTTTACTGCCATCACCTACCATAAATCTGGACGTACCCACTGATACTTGGTTTCCCAGTGTAGTGTCTGTGATCCTTGTAGTATCCATCTCACTTTGACTTTTGGAGAGCCACCATTACTGAGTGTGGAAATAAGGAAAATGGACTAGCTGCACTTTCTGATTCAGGAAGCCATTTGAAACCTGATGCTGTGTAGTTAAAGTATTTATTTCTATTCTCTATTTATTAGAATTTGTGAGGTGTTTCTTGTCAGGACCATGGGAGTAGGGGAAGCACAGGGCTTTTTACAGCTCTGTCAGAGTGTCAAAGAATAATTTTTATTCTCCCCCAGTAATTGTGTATATTGAAAAATAAATACCTGCTAGTTTGGCTGCTTGTTGCTGCAATAGCAGTGCCTTGTGTGCTGCTCTGCTTTCTTTTTCTCAGTGAGTATTAGAAGAAGTGTCATTTTGGGTAGATGTGTTATTAAATCACAGACACACTCATTGCTGTGAGCTTCCTGAGCTGTACATAAACTATCTTTGCCTTGGATATTTTGTCTTTTTTTTTTGGTGTTTTTGTTTGTTTGTTTGTTTGTTTTGGTTTTTTGTTTGTTTGGTTTTTTTTTTTGTGTGTGTGTGGTTTTTTTTGTGCCAGCACCAAAAAAAGGTGACAGAGATGAAGGCCAGTTGTTCAACTATCTCTTTTCATCAGGCGCCCCACAGTTGTACTTCTCCCATACATAGGACTGCTGCAAAATGGGCCAGGAGGACAAGGCCTAGGAGCAAAAGACACAGAGAAGATAATTTAGAAAGAATATGATGATGCTGTGTTTGAAGAAAAGTCAGTGACTCTGCATGTCCCTGCCCACACATTTTTGCTGTGTCTCCTTCATGCCTTGTGCCCTTGTGCCAGTTCAGACTGGCACTCACCTGTGGGTCTCAGCTCAGGGCTCATCATTTCATCGCGGCCTTAAATAAGCCCCCAAAAGTACAGTTTTTTTAAGGCCTTTTCTATAGAGTTAACTAAATGCTATCCTTTCCCTGATGTGCAAAGTTATAAAATATTTGTCTAGTATTTAATCACATAGAAATATGTGAAATTACACTAGAAATATTCCTCCTCCAGTTGTTGAGGGCATAGGCTGCTGAGATTGTGACCATTCAACCTGATAGTATAGAACTGCAAAATACCAATGCCAAGAAAGTACAAATACTGACAGAGCTTTTGTTTATTGTTTTTGTTCTCTTCAGACACTTCTTGCCATGGCATCATTCAATCAGGCTTCCCTCATCACCACAGAGGTGAGACAGCTCAACACTTACTCCGCTCCTGTCTGAAATTCCAGCTGGAAGAGCAGCCCTTCCCTGCTTGAGTGAGTTGAACCCCCTCAGCATTTGCTTCCATGGCATGCTGGTACTCCAGCCCACATGATGAAATCAGATCTTCCTGATTCCTGCTGACTTGCTCCAGCCCCTCATATTCCCCATCTTCCTCTCAGCACCCTCCATTCCCTACATTGTAAATACTTGCTGGAGGAGAAGAGAAGCATAATTTGTTCTTTTATGTGGCAAAGGAAATGAAGGCAAAGAGGGCTTTTTTTGTTCTTTTATAGTTGTTGTTATTATTAAAAGAGGGCTTTTTTTTTTTTTTGTTTGGTTTTTTTTTTCAGTACAGACAAGTTCTAACCTGTATATGTGTGTGCTCTTAGGTACTACTCCCGAAAATAAAAATACATTTGCATTACATATGCTTAAAATAAAAAGAAATTACATATCATAGAGGTTTTCTGATCCTGTTCAGTGCACAAATGCCAATATGGGGTTCTATCTTGCAATCCATTTTGATATTTACAACAGAACATGGCATATCATTTAATTTAAATTTGCAGCATGCTCAGTGTAATTAATGCTGTGCAGTGCCTAGAAAATCCTGATTTCTTAATGTGATACAATGCCTGCATGCTGAGAGCTTTTTTTTCAAACTACTGTATCATTTTGGAGCATTAATGGGGAGGCACTGCCATTAAACAGGGAAAAAAGAGTCAAGGCCACTTGGTCTTTATGAAACTTCCATGCAGCTCCCCAGAATATGATGCAAAGTACTGGTTTGTTTTAGAAGAGGGGGAGAGTCAGAGATTTAATTTTCCCTTGACACAGCATGATGCCTGAATAGCCAGGCAGCTATTCCTAAATTATGTGCATTTCATTCCTAGGAGCTGTGAGCATTTTGAATGGGCTGTTGTTAAATACAGTACACAAGCATAAATACTCCAGGGAACAGCTAGCTGAAATTTTGGCATGAGCAGAAATCTGATGTAGTATCTGAGCATGTAATAATAATGCATATTGATTTGTTGGGAATACTAGGAGAGGGGTTTGGTATTCTGGGATGAGAACTGTTAAACTTGGGAACATCTTGTGTGATTGTAATATGCTGTGATATATGTATGCTGTGGGCTTGGCAGGGACAGAGAGGTTCACATGAAGCTTTAGACTTGGAGACTGGCAGGGTTCTCAGTTTTGGAACCAAACAGAAAAAACTGAGTGCATGGCAAAGACATTTATATATTATATATAAATGAAGCCTGGAGAAATGGGAACCAGAAAGGAGATAGGTTTGTCAAGAAGGGTTGCGACCAAACACCCTTCAAGGTCAGGAGCTTTACTGCCATGGCTGCCTTGAGCTTGGGTCTGAGTTTCTGTGCTTTGGGAGGCGGCTCTGTGTTTGACTGCTACAAAAAGAAGAGAAATGGGAAAAAAAAAAACCCAAACAATATCCCACTATCATTTTGCAAGGTATCAGTTTCTATTAGACTGTACTATAAAAGCGCTTCTTATAGACCTGTTGATAACAAAACAAATTCTTCAAGTCCTCTAAATAAATCTGTTTCTATACATAATTCTTCAACTTCTCTGTTCTCATCTGACACCTGACAATTCCACTTTAAGAGTAATTGGTCCTGCTTTGAACCTCTGCAAGCACAGTGGGAGGAGGGTGGCCACTTTATTGACGTGGATTGATTTTCGTAGGAAGCACATGAGACAGACTCGGTCTGTGATGTCACACCTGGGATGCATCATGCTCCTCCAAAACATCTGCAGGCCACGAGCAGGGTTCAAGAGGATGTGGGGGACGCCCTCAAATAACCCCATCCCACCAAGTGGGACCTCTCTGTGTAGTCACCTTGGAGAGAGGCACCAGCCGGGACTAAGTTCATCAGCCAGGTGGGAATTCCAGCATGGCTCTTGTGGTGGAAGCCATCCCAAGCCACAGGCTGTCTCCATAGGCAGGAACAAAAGGGTTATCCCACTGCAGGCTGGCCAGCTTGTTGATCTTTTCAAACTGTGGTGTCAGGCCTCAAGAAGGGCTGTTGGGATGAGGGGCTGGACATTTCCACCCTGGAACTGTGTTTTCCAGTGCTCTGGTTAATTGAGAGCATTGCAAGACAGGTCAGTGAAAGGCTTTGTGAACCATCTGCTTGGTTTTTGACAAAAAAAGTGTCATTGATATTAATAATAACTCTGAGCTCCAGTACAGACCTAAAAAACCCAGGGAAATGGCAGAACAAAAGGAGACAGAAACAAGATGGCACTGAGGGTGTCGTCACCAGGGATGCTGATTAAGACATGAGGGTGGGGTTGTCCTGCCCGTGTGCGGGTTTGGCTGGGGAAATCTCCCTCCTCCCGCTGTCTCGCTTCCCTCATCCATAATGAGGGAAGGAATAACTTTGCAGCACACTTTGCATTGGCATTGCATGCTAACTTCATTACTGTTTGCAACAGCCTGTGCAATCCTCACAGGAAAGCAATAATAACAAAGAAAAAAAATTGTAATTACCAAGCACATAGTTTTCATCTATAATCTTCATTTCAGGATTCACTATTCCTGATGTCAATATTTTATAATGGAAGAATGAGATATGCTAAGTTTATGTTTGATGGAAGTAAATTCAGATTTAATATTGCCAAGGAGCTGAATTTTTAATAGAGGAGAGCAGTTTGCAGCCATTGGAGCCCTTGTTTGCGGCTCCTTTGTACTGGCTCAGTGACGTTCCCATGACCAGGCAGAAAAATGGAAAGAAGCTGCTCTGGATTTGCAGTGGAGTAACAGTACTTTGTCACTTGGCTCTGTCACGATAATTGGGAGTGTCACACAATGAAGCAATATGACACACCCCCGGTAAATGAAAAGTTTTCAAAGTGATATACAGCCCCTGTCAACTGCCAAAGCTTTTGTTTGCTCAAGGAACCAGGCAGCATTTCCAGGAGGAAAACCACACTGGGGAGGCACCCTTGGAAAGTTTGTTGTGAATTGATTTCCTCTGTGTTTTTGTAAAATGGAATAGATTCTATGAACAGGAGAATACCACCTTTTATCACACACTCCCAGCTTCCAACCTGCTGAGGACTTTCCACAAACTCTTTAGGAATTTACCTCTTTTTGTTAAATTGGGTTGGATCTCATTAATAAAAGAATGGTATAATGGAAAAGAATTTCTAAAATTATACTGTAACCTAGAATTGCAGGATTCAGCTTTCTCTGCCTGAAGAAAAAAAATTTTGAAGCATTAAACTTACTTTATCAAGCATTGCACCTGACATGCTCTCATAAATTTTACATACATTTTAACTTATTTTAATGTTATGCAGGCTTGGTTTAAAATATTCCCATGAAGTACCTAAAATGAAGCTGCTCAGCCATAAATTAGAGCTAAAAAAATACTTGTCCGTCCCCCCCACCCCCCACCCTGCTCCATCAATATTTCTGTACTTAAAATCATGTGTTGTATGTAACTTAAATTTTCCCTTGCTAAGATACTTTGTATATCTTAATAGGAACTACCACAGACCCAGAGAGCTGTATTTCTGTAGGGTTACATTTACTTTTTTTTTTCTTTTTTAGAGGTGTCTTGCCTAAAAGTAACCAAAAGTAACCCTTTGCATGCCACAGTGCAATTAGGGTGAGGGCCCACAATTAAATATGAGGCCAAATATATATAATATGTGTGTGTGTGTGTGTGTGTGTGTGTGTGTGTGTATTTCTGTATTAATTTCTGTGTGTGTGTGTATATGTAGATATAAATACACACTTATATCACAGAATCACAGACTGGTTTGGGTTGGAAGGGACTTTAAAATTCATCTCAAGTTTCCACCTTCCACTGTCCCAGGTTGCTCCAAGCACTGTCCAACCTGGCCGTGGACACTTTCAGGAATGGGGCAGCCACAGCTTCTCTGGGCAACCTGTGCCAGGCCTCCCCATCCTCACAGAGAAGATTTTTTTCTCCTAGTAGCCAATTTAAACCTCCTCTCCATTTGAAGCCATTCCCCCTTGTCCTGTCACACCAGGCCCTTGGAAATTGTCTTTCTCCATGTTCCATTGCAGGTTCCCTTCAGGTACTGGAAGGCCACAATTAGGTGACTCCAAAGACTTCTCTTTTCCAGGCTGGACAACCTCAATTTGCTCAGCCTTTCCTCATAGGGGTGCTGCACCCCTCTAATCATCTTGCTGACCTTCACATGTGTGTATGTGTATGTGTATTTGTGTATATATATATATATATATGTATGTATGTATGTGTATGTGTATGTGTATGTGTATAAAGTTTTTCTCCAGGAACAGCCCTGTAGCAGCCCCACTGTTGGATGGGGGATGACGGAAGCTTCCCAGTGTGACAGTTCCAGGCTGCCCCTCCTCTGGCCAAGGTCTCCATGCAGCAGGTAAATCCCTGACAGCTCCTCACAAAGCTCCATTTGTGCCCTGATTTCTGAGGCTATTTCAAAGCCCAGGCTAAGTTACACAAACATTTGGCTATAGACATAACAGGCCTGCTCTGCAGTGCTGTCAGCTCCTTGCCTCCCAGCCTGAGCACTCCCTGCATGTGTCTGTCAGGCCATACTTGGGCAGCGCCGCAGCGTGCGCCGTGTCCCAGACACTGTAGTGATTATGTCTGGATGCTCCTTATCTGATGGAAAAGCCGGCAGTGCTGCACATCTGTGCTCCGAGGCTCTGCTGCTGCAGTGCCATGCCAGTATTTATTTTGCTTCTGCAAGTTAGTTTTCCTTGAGAAGCAGCGGGGGCCTTCTTCAATGAACTGAAAAATGTGTATTGTATGAAGGTCTGTGGAGGGTGCGCACCATAGTTCAGTGGGCAAATGTGAACTCAGGGAATGACATTTCATTTAAACATTTGGTTTACATCTTTACATGCCAGAAATACTAATGTCTTGACTTTAGCAAACCAAATCCAGCACTTTTTTCTTTTTCCCCTTAAATGAAGTAATTATAACCAAAACACTCTGTGGGCGTTTGTTCTTCCTTCTCAAAGGTGGAGTTTCACACATGAACATTTGGTTTCGGGCTGGAATTGTCAGTAGCTGCTCGCTTGACACTTCCCTGTTAGTTTGTGTTGGAAACCACCAGGAGTTTCTTGCCTTGTGTTTATTGTGTTACCCTCAGCCCTTTGATCGGGACATCTTGGATAACAGCAAAGTCTAGCTCAGCGCCTGTTCGCTATTTAAAAAAAAGTGAAGAATATGATTTCTATCAAAGGATCTACAAAGACAGTTAATGTAATTGAGAAGCAGAAGGGCATTTATGGAAGTGCATCTGAATGTCCTCTTCACATGTAATTGCATCAGGAATTCTACATTAACATGCAAGTACTGTCCAAAGGGAGAAAAAAAAAAAAAGCTTATTTTTAGGTAGAAGCCCTCAGTGGGCAGTAAATTACACATAATCTCCCCCAAACTAGCAATTAGCCCTGTTTGCTGACTACCTGAATTGTTTCACAGTAGTTCAGCACAGTCTTACCAGTTATCACCATACTTATAATCAGAGATTCCGTGAATGATTCCCGCAGCTCCACATACTGCCTGCCTAAGGTCAGCCATTATAACGAATACATTTTATTTGCTTCTTTTGCCCTTTGGAGCTGTTTTCTTGGGCTGCAATATGTAAGGAGAGCTGGTGCTGCCCTGCTGCTCAAATGGCAAGAATGTGAACAGAGAAAGCAATTCAGAGGGGTAGGTGTGCTTTGGTATTAGTTAATATTCATCTGCTTGTGTTATTTGTTATTTATTCCCTTGTAGCAACCAGTCCTGCTCAGAGAGAGTGAACTTGCTACCCACTGCTGGGGTTTGCTCTTCAGAAGTTCTGACACTGAAAGACATTTTTCAACATGAGCCTGCAACTGATGAGTAGAAAACTGGAAAGTATGGAAACAAAAACCTATGGAATTTTTTTCCTTAAGGCAGTTGAGCAGTTTTCTTATCCCCAAATACCCATGGTTTGCCAAAATAGTAACTGAGCTTGGAAAACAGTAGCTACGTTGCCAGCTTTAGCAGTAGAAACAATCATGGGCCTACACATGCACACAAATACAAGCACACACATCCTAGGAGCAGCATCAGTCTTAAAGAAAGAAAACAAAGGTGAAATAGAGCTAATGAAATATTTGAAACAGAAAACAGGAATGTTTAGACCCTGAGCATTAAAGGTATATTTTTAAGTATGGTGCACCCTTATGAGTAATGCTTTAATTTGCATATTAATTCTTAGGCAAAATGCAACTAAATCAACATAGTGGCACCATTTAAAGCCCATTTTCAGTGCTGGTTCTTTGTCACATTACACAGACACAGAGCTGTATTCCTGCCTCTGATATGAGGACTAGATCTGAGGAATGAAGGAGATGGAACAGGAATTCATGCTGAAGAGGAACAACTAAAGAGTAGTTGTCATTTGCAAGCACACGCTAGGAAGCAGAAAATTGAAAGACTTCCTTTGCCTGGCTCTGTTTAAAATGTTTCAGCTTCTAGTTTCACAATCAGGAACATCAGCTCTCTGAGCAAACTGCCTACAAAGCTACCACAACAAACTTCAGACCAGTTCTTCAAAAGAAGAACTTGTTTTCCAGAAAAAAAAAACCTTGGGGTTGAATACTTTCCACCCTTGCCACTCAGGCCTTGACTAAGGAAAGGACAAATAAACTGATCCTGAATTAAAGTCATCCTCGTTGTAAGCACATACCTGGCCAAGGCAGGCAAAAGCAGATTGATGACCCAACAAAGTTCACCTTGTTTTCTGAGTTGAAAGCTCACGCTGTTCCCTGGCAGAACAGGCATGTCAGGCCTGCAATAACTGCTTGCTACCTTGCTTCAGTCAGCATTAAACCCAGCACAATATTAACATCTTGGGGAAAATCCAGCTGGAAATGGCTTTCTGGGGGGAAAAAAAAGGGAAGTGAGGTGACGGAATAGCACACCCTGTGTTTGTTTACTTATTGATTTCACAGTAATTTTAAGTAACTTGAAATTTCTCCCCTCGCCTGAAAATGTTTTCTTTCCGTTGTTTTCTGTTAAAATGCAGAGCTGAATTCCTGTCCAGAAAGAAGTGGCAAAGAACGGCCATGTTTCACCTGAAGGTAAATAAATCACCTGGTCTGGCAGAGGTTGGTCTTTCTGTTTGGCTTTACTTTGCAGGAGCTGCTTGTGGGCACATCATCCTGTGCCCAGTGCAGCGAGTGGCACTCCTGGGACAGACCCATCGCTCTGGTGGCACCTGAATGGTCAGAGCATCCCCAAACTGGGATTCAGAACAGCCCCACTGATTTGGATGTGGGGCAATTGTGTTTGTGCCTCAGAGGGATGAGGTTGTGCAGAAGAGCTGAACTTCAAAAATTTGCTTTTTTATTTATAAAAAAAAATACAATTTGCTCTGATCTTTTTTCTTATTTTTCTTTTCTGAAGCACTGGTAAAGTTTGAAGATGATCCCTAATGATGCACAGCACAAGTGCTCTGAAATGTATCTCCTCTGGGTGAGTGTACCCTTTATTGACAATTCACCCTGGAAGCTCACTGGGCACTGAGCACCTCCAAAGTATTTCTGGAAAGAAAGCAAATGGTCCAGGCTCTGGACACTGGGCTCTTAAATTCCCAAAATATTTATCGCTTAATCTGAAAAACACTTTGCCAAAAACCTGGGCTATAGTGAGGGCATTTGGCACTGGAATAATTTCTGATGAAGTTCTAGGAGCAGGCTGTAGGTTTGTGTTCAGTGATGCTTCAATGTAATGCTTTGGCCAGTTCCATCCTGGCCTGCAGCTGCTGGGATCAGGCTCTGCCAAATTCCTGTCACCTTGGGCTTCATTAGCATGTGAAAACAGAACCCTTCCGGCTTTGTGTCTCGCTGAAAAACCAACCACCCAGCCCTCCCTTTGGCCAGGGGCTGCCTCAGGCACTCGACTTTAAAAGGACAGTTTAAAAAAGCAGTTCTTTACTTTTTTTGTTTGTTTGGTTGGTTGGTTTTTTTTGTTTGTTTGTTTTGTTTGTTTTGTTTGTTTGTTTGTTTGTTTTGATTGTTTGTTTGTTTTGTTTGTTTGTTTGTTTTTACTACTCCTCTAAAAATGTTACCAGAGTGAAAGTTCCTGTTTACAGTGGTGGGGAAGAGTTCAGGTAACTGCTCATAAAGGGCCCACGAGCAGTGGCAGATGCAGGACTCAGCAGAGTGAGTAAATCTTTTACAGTTGGGCCCCTAACTAAGGATTCTGCATTTTGGAAGAATTAAGTCCTGCACTGCCATATGAAATATTTCCTGTGCATTTCAGCGAGCCAGGGATTGCATCTGCTACCTCCAGCCATTCTAACAGTGAATGAACCAGAACACTTAAAATATTTGCAGAGAGATGTTCTGAACAAATAACACAACTAACTTAAATGGAGAAACTTCCCTAAGTCACATCCATTCAGTTAGGGAAAAGAACCAGCCCCATGTAAGCAGCCTGTGAGCAGAGCACCTCTTGCCTGCTTCACAAGTACCATGTCTCAGAGGCAGGAAAATATATCCTCCCTCCACAAAAGACTTTGGGAATAATTATTTGTAATGGAGAAAAAAAAAGAAAAATCAGCCTGTTCATGGACGGGGATGGGAAATTTGTGAAGGTCCTAATTCATTTCTCTTTTTGGTTGGCAACATTCATTGAACAATTGTCATTTGATAAAGCTACTAGTACCTTGAATGTTTTTCAAGCAACACACAATGATTGCTACATGTAATTTTTAAATTTCTGACTCACCCATCAATGAAAATCCATGTTAACTCATGTTAAACTCCAAGTACAGTGGAATAACACTTGGAGCAGAGTGGCTTCAGCCAGGATCAGAGACTGCATTTAAAACTGATGCTCCATGATGGATTTTGAGACTCATCCCAGTTTTATTTACCTCAAGCATGAGAAGGATTTCACCTCCTTTGGAATTCTGGGGTAAACTGTTCTTGTACAAAATTTGTTCAGGGTCAAGTTTTAGACAATATTTTGTGCTGCAATAACCACATCATGACAGACAACCTTTTAATCAGATAAGAAAAAAAAATCCTCTTCTCCAGGTCAGTACAAGAAAGAAACATGACAGAGATATTATAAATACAGAGCCCAGAGGTGTGAAAGCTCCTGCATTAAATGCGGTTTGACCATGTTTAAATTTTTTTCCCAGACATTTCAGGTGTTAATTCAGGGAAGCAAATGCATACAAGGGGGAATGGCAGCAGTTAAGGCAGCTTCTGACTGGTAATGATCTTCATAATTTCTGCCCATTTTTTCAGACTATTATTTAAAAATATGCAACTGATTAGAGAGGTTGAGTTGGGAAATCAGGTACATGGGTGACCTCAGGTTTAGAGGTGGGAGAAGCTGGTAACTGAGTGAAAAGCTTGTCTGACCACATTGTCTTTTCCAGGATGGGCCGAGGAAGATTTGCAGGTTACAACTGGAACATTTTAATTCATGGTACTAAAAGAAAAGCTCTGGTCACCAAGCAAATGAAATTACACATGTAAATTATACAGCTGATTTCCAGAGGTGGGCAAATACTCCACAGTGTCCAGCAAAGTCCCAGAGAGATGAGTAGTGAAAGGAGAAAAGGATAAACCCCCACATGGTGGTCTCAGGAGCGTAAGGTAAGTTTAATCACTTAAGCAGTGATATTTTAAATCCTGTCTCCAGTGGACAAGGCTTGCTGTGAGGGTGGTGAGGTCTATGTGCACATGATGCTTGGGTGAAAAAACTGTAAATTGCTGTCAGAAATTGCCATCTGCATTTTTACAAAAATATCTGTACCCACACTTGGAAATTATCTGAGGAGTTTTGCTTACTCGCCTTGTCAGAAAACAACACAGAGTATATGCAGCACGAAATTTTATCCAAAAGAAACACTAAAGAATACTTTTGCCATAAACAAAATGAACTCATTAAAATTAACTCAGTGGTTCTGTTTTCCAACCCAAAAAACAAAATTCCTTATATTTTTTTTTCCCTTTTTTGGGGGTTGGAGCTGGACTATTGTCAAGGCTCCCATCCAGCCCAAACTATTCTATGATTGTATAAAAACAAGTTTTCATCTTGTTTGTTCCCCTTCACTCTGAGGGCTCTGGAGGTGCCAGGGATCCTTCTGAGCTCTGAGCAGTTTTACAAACACTGCACAACGGTCACTCACCAGAAATCCAACACTTAATGACCTTCCAGGTTGTCCTGTTCCAGTGAAAAAGTGGCACCACCCCAATTTTAAGATTACAGCACTACAGCAAAGCTTGAGTTACCAGCCCAAGTGGTATGAAAATATATGCATTTTGAATTGCTGTGAATTATACCAAATAATCCTGTGTCTTTTGCTCTACTAATGAATCAAAGCAGAGCTTTCCATATTATCTGCAATCACCATGGAGAAAATGGTTCTTGGCATACATGGTTTCTGTATAAACAGTGCATCTCCAGCTCATTCTGAAGGTAAGTAGTGTCTGATTGCATAATAATAACAATAATAAAGAGAGAGCTGTCCAGCCTGCACATGGGCCAATTAAAGGATCAAGTGCACAAGGCTGCAACACTCCTGGCAGGGGAGGAGTTGCCAGGGAGGTGTCCAGCCCACTTGTGCCCTGACTTCCATCCTGCACCTCCCACCTCAGCAAGCTGTGGCACTCAGTGAGCTTTGTCCCTGAATCCCTGCATGGAAACAGGGGGACAGCACAGTATCCACTATTTTAGAAAAAGAATGGAAGTTGTGACTGCAGCAGATGAAAACTCACCAGTGAAGCTCCAGTGCCTGTTTCACACCGTGCCTTAAAGCTGTGCTGGGCAGGATTTCTCCAGCTGCAGGGACCAGACTCAAGCCCTGCTGCATGCCACAGCTATGCCTGAGAATTCATGGAAGGCTGGAGGAATGTACTTTATGGGGTGGCTGGATCATATGTTTATGGCCTGAAAGAGGAGATCCCAACCCAAACCACTTTGTTGGTCTCTGATGGTGAGAGGCTGAATATGAACATGATATAATTCATGCTGGGGCATAGGTATGAAAAGAGAACATGCAGGCTTTGCCTGGGACAGCCCACAGTCTCAGTAGCTGCCTTGCCATTAATTATGGATAATGAGCTAATAATCACCTTCACATGCAGTGCACTGCACATTCAGCCTGCAGGAGCCCCCTTGGAGAGATGAGCCAGAAGAACTAAATGTAAAAACCCTGGTTGCTGCTATTCTGCATTGCTGACAACAATAGCATTAAAGTTGTAGGGGACCAAGTGCTCTGGAAGCCTGCAGACAATAATTCACCCCCAAAAGGAGCTTCTGACAGTTGACAGCAATTCATGGGACATTTTCAGCACCTTCTGCACAGAAGTGGGTGGTTGTGACCCTACTGGTTTGGTGGGAAGGGCTCTTCTGCTGGAGCCAGGTGTCAGGAAACAACACCTGCACCAGAGTTCCATGGGCACATCCCAGCCTGGCCACAGGCATCACTAATGCACTTCTCCAGTGGCCTTTTCTGTGGGATAATGGCACTGGCACTTCAGGGACTGAAGCTGCTCCTCAAGGAACAGCCACTTCCTCTCCTCTCAGCTCTGCAGAAGAGTAAAAGTTCCTGGTTCAGGCCTTGGAAATAATGAGGTGAAAGGGACCCCATTAAAACCTCCCCAAAGACAGAATGAGGTATTCTCATGTGATTGGAAAAAAACCAATGGGCAAACACAGCCTGCCTGGACAGGACCCTCCTCTCAAAGAGCTACGGGAAAGGCTCCTGGGTCACAGGAAAGCTGGGAATTTAACATGAAGTGGCCTGCTGGGATGCTAGGAAAAAAACCCTAATTGGCCAAATGCAGCTAAAGACACTGAGCACACTGAAAAGGCTTTCTGCAGGTGGTTCTGCAGGGTTTTCATTGTCCTCCCAACAGAACCAGGCCAACTGCAGCACAAATTGCTTCAAAGAGCAGAAGGAAACCACCTGCTCCAGGCTCAGAATTCGTGTGGGCTGCCTCAGGCCCAAACCAAACTGCTTGTGCTCAGGAAGGAGCTCGGGTTCAGTCCATCAGTGTCTCACCTTTCTGGGCACACAGCTCTTTATTTGGAAATATAGAACCAGAGCCCAGCTTCAGATAATCAGAATTTTACCCTCTCTACAAATACCCTCCAAAACACAAGTTACTATGCTGGAATCAATAGTTGCCTTTTTTTGTTTAACCCCAACTTTAATGAATTGACTGAAAAGTTTCTCAGTACCTTTGCCATTAATGAAAAAATAAACATCTTGTGACCCTTTTCTGAGGATAAACCCAGTGGATGTATCTCCCCTGCCCTGGACACACTTACTTAGATTTAGCTTGGTTCATTCCCAAAGGCCATGATCCAACTAGATATTCAGACACCTGTAAAACTTCAACACACTTCTAAGGACTGCTCTGAACTCTGGCAAGAGTAGGGAAAATACTGTTAAAGTACTACTTTATTTCTTTAAAATCTAATTTTTGAGAATCTTGACTGCAATGCATCACTTCAAATATTTCCTTCCTCATGCAGAATATTTGAATGTTAAGCCAGATGTTTTTATATTTCCACAAATTAAATGCACCATGGCTGAAGGTTTGACAGAAGCTCCAATTTACACATAAAAAGGTAGAATGATTTCAGTTTTGACAGCACAAGCTTTTGATTTGTTAATAAAGGCAATTCTTTCTCAATTGTGAACATACTCCCCAAATAAGACAATGCAGTGTGTAGAAAAAAAAAATAAAAAAACAACCCAACAAAAAAACCCCACAACAAAACGTCTTCCTGGTTGGAGAATAAACTTTTGATCCAAAGTTAGTGTAGAAATTCAGATTTTATACAAATAAAAGAATGGAACTCACATTCAAGCTTTAGTTGTAGCAGAGCAGGTATCAGAGGAAGTTCCATGTTCCTGCCACTTTCTCTGTACCTGTTGTTGGAAATATAACCTACCTTCAGTGTCTTTGGATGAAGTTCATTGCTAGAAAAGTACCTGTGAAAAAGGGTTGGGCAGGTGAGACAGATGTGTGGAAATGGTTTGGGTGAAAATCACCACAGATTTTCTTGGCCATGTTCTAATCAATTGCAGCCTAACACCAGGATTTCAGACTCTTGTGACAAAACACAAGCACCACCAAATTTGTAAACCAAGATGCAACCAAGGCTAAGAGACAAGAGGCCATACCTTCAGAGTGGCCCCCTGTGCCCATGTCAAAGCCTCCTCTTCACCTGAGACACCACAGAGGAGGAGAGAGGGTAGAGCTCCAAAGCAGTCTGAGCAGAGCCTGCCATGCTTAAGCATGGGGAAAAAAAAAAAAAAAAAAAAGTGGATTTGTTATCTGAGATCAAACTATTCAACTATTCTAAACTTTTTCCTACGTGACAACCAAAAGCACCAGCATGGAAGCAAAGCTGAAAGTGCCCAGGCTCGGTTTCAGGATATAAAAGGGTAACAAAGCCCCTTCCCATGGGCCTGCCAAGGGCTTGGCTTTTACAAGCTTGGCATGGACCTTGGCCTAGCAGCAGAAGTTGAGTGAAGCTTCTGCAGGAGGTGGGGAACAAGTCCAAACAGCCTGAGGCACAAACCAGCCAGTGCTGGTGTCACAAGTGTCCACTTTGGGGTGCACATAACCCAGACCCCGCCATGAGGCTTCCTGGGTGCCACCCGTGGGCACGGGCAGAGGGAGGAGCCAGCCCAGCTCCCACATGCCTGGGAAACCCTTCCTGGGCCCGTGCAGCCGTGGCTGGCGCTGGGCAGCGCTGGAGTCCCCGGGCACAGCGGGCACTCGGCGATGCCCGGCAGCAGCACATCCTGCTCCCGTGCACCCTGGGCCCAACACAGCCTGCTGCCATCACTGCTTCACTCTCTCACGTGTGGCACTTCGCACTGGCACTTGGCACAGTGCTCCAAGCCACTGGCCCATTTAATGCAAAACCTCCTGATTTTTGTTAATTCAAAGCTTTTGTGAAAGACATTTTTGTTTTCCAAACAGTGTCCCCTTCTGCTTTTCTTTGCTTGCATCTCACCACAGTTGCCTCCTAATCCAGTGTTGGTGAAACAAGGCTGAAGGTATTTTGGTCATGTTTTCACACTCCTGATGTACACTTGCCTTGTCTCCTTCCACTTTCCTTCTGACTACACTCTGCTTCACAAATGCAGCCATCTGGCACAACATCACAGTTTTTTTCTGTTGACACCTGAGTAATCAAAGCCCTTTTTTTTCTTAATTTTTGTTTTCATTTTTAAATAAAGCAAGTGCTTCCAACTCCAGTGCCCAGGCTTATAACTGACAAGCCACATCCCATTAATAAAAAGCAGCAGAAGTGGGACGTCACTGGTATTAATGTTACAAAACATTTAGGGTGAGATGAGAGAAAAAAATTAGCACCTGATATTTTCCAGCTTTAAGAGCACTCCTTAGGAAACAAACTGCTTCTATACATTTTCTGTGTGAAACACACCTATAAAACATTGATGACAAAGTTGTGGCCCCAGAAATTCAGAAGAGTCTTACCACATATTGCTGTAGGACCAAAGTTGCATCCCAAGAGTTTCTTGTCTCAAAGGATCCCTCTAAGACTCACTCTCTCATGCCGCACTCACTTTTCCCATGGCAGAAATAAATCTGATAATATTAACTTGATCTCCACCTGGCTGCCATCTTCTCCACATGTTTGATCCTACCCCTGAATTCTGTCGTCTCTGAAGTAAAGGATGGCCACCACCCCACAAGCCCCCGTGATCTGGACACCCTGCACAGAGATCTATGAGGAATGGAGCAGCTGTGCCACAGGGAACTCCCAAATCTCACCTTGGGCACTGGGACAAAACACAGGGGCTGCCTCTGCACCTTCCCCAGACTGACAGCTCTGTCTGCAGCTCCTCTCACAGCCCTCACTGCACTCCCTCCATGCAGCAGAAATTGGGTCCTATGAGCTCCACAAGGGCAGGACAGGAACAAAAGGCAGGGTTGAGTGGCTGCCCTGTGTCACCCATCTGGCCAGTCCAGCACAAAGCAGCCATGGCAGCACCTGGAACACAGACTGCTCCATAGGCCCCACCATTCCCATTGTCCCAAAGCACTGGCATCAACAGTGGAATTTCTGCTGTCAATACCAATTGGAAAGTGACATTGACAATGTGCCAATACAAGTCAGTAATGTGTGACTCTACAGACTGAGCCTGCTGTGAAACCCCTGCTTTTCTTCCCATTTGTTCCAGAGTTTCCCAAAAGACTCTCAACAGGCACAGCCACACTGGGCATTAGTACCACATCAGCTCAGGGACTCTGCTTTGCTGGGTGAGCAAAGAAGATTTGCTGATGGTACAAGCAGCCTCTTCCCTCCATGAGAAGCCAGCAGGGGCCACAGCATCCTTCTGGGATGGATTTATACCATACGGAGATGCCAAATGGGAGGGAAGAAATTTGACATAAAAAGCTCAATCTAGACCCCATCAGGAGAGACTCAGAACCAGGCTAGGACAATCTGGATTTTGTGAGAAATACCTGTTTTTCAAAATGCAGCCACCTGGTAGATTCCATTCTTCTCTTTCAACCTGGAAAGAGAGATGGAGCAGTTGATGGGGGAACAGAAAGGCTGTGCAAATTACAAGCTCTGTGGAAAGTTCCTGTGCAAATAACAGTTTAACACTAAGAAGTTAGGTTAAAATGGTTTCAAAGTCTAAAATTAGTTACATTTAAAACTAAGAGCATATGCTTTTATTGTCTCTGATCTAAAATATAATCCCAGGAGGCTGTGAAAAGCATGCAAATTACAGAAAGCTAATTTGCTCCAACAGCGACACCTCCCATGTAGTTGGGAGGTCTATTAGACCCAGTGTACTCTCCATTATTTGCATATTAATAGCACCTGCTGAAATACTTTGGGATTTACTTTTCTTGCCAGCAGAGGGACAAAACAAACAAAAAATTTATATAAAATTCCTTTCATACAGATTTGATGAACAATAAACTATTCAGACAGTGCAAAGAATGCCAAACTATTGAGAGGCAATGGGGTAGGATTGCAGTGCCATCTGTGATTTTCAGAGAAACTGGACTGCAAGTCTGAATCAGAAAAATAAAGGAATAACCTAAACCAAAAAAACCCCAAACAATCAAAAAGAAAAATCTCTGGAAAGTGCTGGGTTATTTGAAATGGCTCACTTGGCTCAAGTCTGAAGAATGGAAAAGTTGAACTAAAGGAATCCAGACACTGCAGCAGGAAAAAAATTAAAAACATGACAAAAAAATCCTACACGTCCACAAGCCCCAAGAGCAGAACCCCCCAAAGTGGACCTTGATTAAAAATCTACAAAACTCCAGGCTTTGATATTAGCCAGGCCTGCAAGGCCTAGTCTCCTGCACATAAAACAAAAAATAAATTAAAACCAGCTACAGCTTGAGATTTACCTAACAAGCCTCTGCTCATGACCACTGCTTCCCCTCCTGGGCCCCGAGCTATAAAAAAAGCCCCTTGTATATTCCTATAGCTCATCTTCCTCAGGGTGAGGGAGAGAGCAGCTTCCTCTCCACAGTAGCACATGGAAAATGTCCTTTTGCAGTGCCAGGCCGGGCCAGATCTGCAGGTGGGATGCGCAGCGCGTGCCTCTCCCTGCAGAGCGGATTTGGGAAGCCGAGCAGGGAGACAGCAATGTTCCCCAGCACCTCTTTTTCCAAACAGGCAGTTGGTGTTCCTAAAGAAGCACCAGCCACGTGCTCATCTACCCCTCAAGGGTTACAAGGGGCTGCATTTCTCTGTGTTCCCTGTGCTTTAATTCTGATTATGTGCCCTCTTTTAAACGGGCATGGAAGGGCCCACCAGAGTTGCCCACTGCTGGTGTGCCAAATTCTGTAGCATTTTAACTACCATCATATTCCCAAACCAAGGAGGCAATTGACTTTAAGTTAAAATGTTTAAATTGTTCTCTACATGTTAAAAAAGTAGTGAAAGAGCATTTCATGCAGGACAACAATGCAGGGAAAAGTGCAGCAGGACAGACACTGACTCCGTCCCTTGGCACTCTTACCTGTGTCAGGGGAGTGGAGAGAAGCAGGGAAATATATTATTATTGGGAAATACATCATTACTGGCCTCTCCTCACCACAGACAGAGCCCAGTGTGTCTTTGGTCTCTGCACAACCAAGTGAGACCTCTGAAAAACTTGATCAGTGTCAGTGCTAATTACTGGAGGAGGCAATCAAACATTCCAGCAACAGGGACCCCTGAAATGCTGCAGACTGTCAGCTCCCACCATGGCCCTCAACAAATGCTAATTCTCATTAATGCCCATGGGCTCCAGAACACTGCAGCACTGGCAGGGATTGCCATTAGCTGGGAGTTAATTAGCAGTAAGTTGTAGGACTAAAGTTGCAGGATGGCAAACAGATGCAAACCAGAGATGCACTGCTGGTGGTAATTTCCAGCATTTTTGTGTAGAAGGAACCTCTGAATAGCTGGAAGGGAAAGGAGTGACCAGAACGCTTCCTGGGAATCCTCAGTGGTTCAGGGCGTGGAGAACCGGATAAAAACTGTTACAAAATGAGCCCATAAAGCAGCACTTGGGAAACCCAGCAGATTGCTGAGTTTGGAAAGGTGAAACATTGAGAGGGATCTGTCCTCTCATAGCCAGGAACAGATCCTACCCTGGGATACAGCAGGGCCTGGAGATCTGTGCTGGTACTGCCTGGCACATGCATAGCTAAAAATGCTCTGTGCTGCCTCACAGCCCTCTGTGAACTGTGCTCCCAGCCAGAGAGAGCTGGGCATTTGTAATGATAGCAATAAAAATAAAAATAATAATGATGGAAAAACACCACCCTAGAAAGCAAAACACATCCCACTCCTTATAACAAATTACATTGGATGTTCCTTACCTGAAATTCCATGAGCAATTAGCAAACAGAATGCTCCACAAATGCCTTTATGCCCCACTCTCCTTGTGGTGGTTTTGGCAGACACATTCCCAGCCTGCAGTTTGCCATCCAGCTGCTTCCAAACCACTGCTTTTTTCCTCTTTTATACTTTTTTTTTCCTGATGAAGTTCATGGCAGTCAGTATTTTACCACCTGCATGCTGGGGAAGAAAAAAAAGCAAGAAGGAGAGGCTCAATATATACAGTGTGTTTATATTCAGTGAGAGCATGTTGCAGAGTGGGGAGCTGTGATGTGTGTGTTTGCATTGTCTGGGAAAAGATCCTTAGTGGCACTGCAGCTGTAAAAATTAATGTTAAGATCAGGGGACTGTCTTCAGTGACAAACTTTCACTTGGTAAGTTCTTTTGTAGGAAAGGATATCTTGGACTGCAACTAATTTGTGAATCCCAGGAAAGGCAGATTGCTGATTCTTCATCAGGATTGCATGACCTGATCTATAAAAATTTGGGCCTCAGCAGGAGGTTATGGGAAAGTGTGATTTGCATTTCAATTTTTAGTCCATCACAACCTTTAAATCTTTCTGCAGCACTATCATAATGCAAGCTTTTGGTCTCAGTGTGCTCAAAATACATATCAAAAAAATTAAAAATCCTGGTACAATGGCAGTCATTTGATAATGGGACAGAAAGTAGCATTTATGTTCAAATTGTTTCACAGAACACCATTACATCAGAGTCTTTCATAATTTTATGGGGATCGAGTCTCCCGATACCATCCTTGGAGACCCCATGTGGTGCTTGTCACTATAATTCCACTTGCACAAACACACCGACCCTTTCAATTTTTATCTGCCCAGAGCCCAGAATATGTTACATTGTTTAGGTTTTGTTCTGTACGAAGAGCTCACAACAAATAAAAGCCACTTCCCTGGCAAAATGAGCCTTTGAGTGACGGTTAAGGGAATTTCAGGCAGCCCCTTTTGCAGGAGGGCAGCGGCTCTGCCATCCCTCCTGCTGACTGATGGCACTACTCCAGCCCATGCTCCATGAGGAGCCACCAGCACTGGCACCAGCGGCTGGATGCTCACTTATTTCCCTAAAAAACTGCCTGGGTCAGGCTCCAAACCCCATGCACATGCTGGAGATTAATTATTCATGGACCAGGAGGGCTTCCCTGTGCCACTGCTGGATCAGGGAGGAGGCTTTGCAGAGAAAGGAGAAAATCTGCTCTGGAGTCCTTTTACCAAGGAAATGTTCTCTGAAATACTCACAGCCTTTCACCCCAATGTCAGAGATGGGTCTCCATGTCCATCCTGGGGGCTTGGGAAGCCAACTGAGCCAAGTGCTCAGAGCTGTGGAACATTCCTGGCACAGCTCAGCTGCCTTTCCTTGCTCCACACTGAGCCAGGTTTTGTCATGAAGAACTGCACATGGCCACAGATTGAAATTTACATTTATTTTGGTGACTGGATACCTGCTTTCCTTTTTGCAGAATATTACTTCCACTTCCTCAGGTATGGTGAGACTCAGCAACCCTTTCTGGGAACATATTGTCCAGCTAATTGAACTTCCAGGTTCCAAATCTCAAAGCCCAAGGCAAGGCTGCAGGAGTGTGGGCACCACATGAACGTCCCATGTATTTCCAAGTTTTCTTCTGCTTTTGCTCTTTCTGAGGTTAGTAGCTTTCCAGTGGCTTGAGCAGAGAGAGGCTGAATGAGGGACATTTTTTTGTACCTATTTCTTAAAGGCACTTCCAATCTCTCTCCCATGTATGTTGCCATGTTGGGGCCCAATAATTTTTTTCCTTGCTGGCATTGGCAAAATTGCAGCCCTTGGATTGAACTTCCACCCCAGCTGCTCCCCTGTAATGGAAACCAGATCTCCACAGTGGAGGTTACAGCCCTTCCTGAAACACAGGGTGAGGGTGCTGCTCCATAAGGAAAAGTCACTGCTGCACCTGAGCACCTTTCTGCAGAGACCTTTCTAGGGGTGATTCTACAGGATAGTGAGATACTGACCCAGGACATCCCCAACAGTCACTTTTCAAAAAGGCTGCTTTTGCTCCACTGAGTGTCTGAGAGCCCAAGTTGGAATATGTAGGACTGAAAAAGCAGTCTGGTCCTGAACTTCCTCCTAAAAATAAATGAATAACAACCTTCACACGAAAGCAGGATAAATAATTTTTCTTTTCTTTCAGGACACGTGTTGAGAGCACAGAAAGCAGTCAGAAGTACAGCTTTTACCAACTGCTCTGCTGCTTAACATCTCTGGCATTCAAAACATACAACTTCTGTGTTTGTACTACATTTCCCTAACAGCTTACATCGAGGCCAAACACACAGTGTTCTGCAGAGGTCTTCTAAAATAAGCTTATTCAAAAGAGCAAGGTCAATGCCCACACATGTCAGATTCTGTGAGCAGAAATCAAAGAGTTTGGGGCAAATGGGATATGTCAGGACTCAGTGGATTCTCATGCCAGGCTCTTTTACCAAGTTCACATTGCTGCTGCCAAAACCAGTAACAATCTCATCATGTGGGCTTCAGCTTTGGAAAAATGTCTCAAAAAACCCCAGTCTCTGCACATGGGCTATTCAGCTCAATACAGAAAACTAACGCACAGATAAAAGTGTTTATCTGGACATGCTATTTATTGGCCCCGTAACTGTGTTTTTCTTTTAATGGGCCATGGCTGATTCTATGCTTCAGCCCTAGGCTCTATTAAAATCAAATTAAAAACATTAGTAATGTAGTTAATTCCATTTATAATATGACCATCAAGTCAAAAGAAAAGAGAACGTTAAATATATATATATATGGGATTTAAGAACATTAAAAAAACCCATCTACATAGTTCCAAATTGATCTTTGTTTTGTTTATTAAAAAAGGAAAAGTTTTTCCTGTTCAGATAAAGTAACTCTGCCTGGTCTTTTAAAACCAGAATGATATTTGTGATTTCAATTAAAATATGCTATTGTCACTTTAGCCTCCCTCTTTGGTATTTTAAATTGATCCTTATGGCTTTGCTTTAAGTGATTTGCGTCCCGCAGTGAATCCTTGTCACTTCAGCACCTCCCACTATTGCCCTCCCGAACAGTCACTCCCGGTGATCGCTCCTTGCCCTTCTCCCGGCGTTCCTGCTCTGCCCCCGGCTCCTCAGGCTGCTCAGGCTGCGAGCTGTGGGCTCTGCCCCGTCCCTTACCGCTGCTAGGCTTACCTCAGCCAGGCGCTGAAATGAAGGGGCCGAGCTCCGTGGGGAGGCCGAACGGGTGGCTCCGGATGGGGGCCAAGGAAGGCAGGAGCGGGTTGGGATTGGGACCTCCCGGCGCCCTCCTCAGTGTGCGGCCGGAGAGCTGCTCACCCAGCCCCGCTCGCCGCTTCCTGAGAGAGCTCTGGGAGATGCAGAGCACCCAAGGGAAACCTGTCCAGGAATGCCGAACTTCCACTGGAGGCTTCTCCCGAAGAGATGCCACCAGCAGAACCCCTCCAGGTTCTGTCTGGGAGCTGCCCCTGCCCCGCTCCCGTCCCTCCACACCGTGGTGGGGATCAGGAGCCTTCTCCTTCTCACAGGAGCATCCTGTTTCCTTTGCCTTTCATGGATCTCATTATTAATTAAATAATCATTTCGTTTGCATAATTGTCCTCTGACATACATGATTCCAACCCTTCTCTTTAAATTGGCTTATTAAACTAAATACAGTCTTCTGGTTTTGTGGCTCCAGCTATCAAAGCTTCCTAGATGGACAGTCAGGGTGATGGGAAGAAAAAAACCAAACTAATAATATTAGGGAGCATGCTTTTATGTACATTTATGAGATCTACCAGCAGGTGACTCCATTCTAAAATATCTGTATTTTCATAAAACAAAATGCTTTCTTTCCTACACCCTGAACATTGTCACAATGCCCCCCTCCATAAGATTTAGCGCTCTGAAAAAAACAATGTTAAATAAATAGCACTTTTGCTTAAGCTACGAACTATTTCTTTTTGAATAACACATAAAATTGAATTAGAGCGATTCAGGGATTTCCAGAACAGCCTGATGTGTTCCTGTCTAATCAGACCTGATTAATTCAAATCAAACTGCAAACCTCAGTTTTATTTTGCTTTAAAAACTCCAGCTCAACAACAAATCAGTAGTATGTAGATATCACAGAGGCAGTTAACAGGAAAGCCTACATTTACTGAGCCTTGTAGAGTCAAACGGATATGATTAAACATTTGGCATAATTTATTAATATTTTATGTATTCAAATATATACAGAGGGGATGGGACCAGTCAGGGAGATGCTCTTCACCAGGGACAATTATATTTATGCCTAAGAAAATCAGATCCAGCTCAGGTGTCAAAGGATGTTTCTTCAAAATAGAAAAAATTTGAACAAATAACAGGGTTCTGTGGGAGGGTTTGTAACACAGAACTGCACTAAAACTATGCAATGATCTACACAGACAATCAAAGTGTTCCTGCCATGTCAAGTGCAGCAGAATAAATTAAGATAAAACAAAATAAAACAATCCCACAAATGCAAGATTGTAAATGCAAAAGAGGCAGCTGTGCAAGAGGTATTCCAGAGATTTACTGAGCCATTATTGCTGTGCAAGGTGCACCCAGAGAGGCTCCCAGACCTGACCAGTTTAATCCACATCAGAGCAGGGACATGCAGGGTCAGGAGGCTGACTGGATTTGGGCACTGGACACAGCTGTTTTCCTTAGGTGCAATCCACTTGTCACTGGTGGTGGCACTTTGCATTTGCTGTGTGGCAGCATATGTGCTTGCCACACTGGGGACCCGTTACATCCCTTTAGCCTCCAGCCACTTCCCTTCCCTTCTCGTTAGCTGCGTGTCCATATATCCTTCCATACTCCTGCTGCATGTCCATTTATCCTTCCACACTCTGTGCCCCCTCTGCCTGCTCCCAGGTTAAAACCAGATTAAGTGGGGCAGAATTATTCTATATATTGCCAAATTTACGAAATATTCTTGCTACCAGGGAGAGCTCACAGGCACAAGGAAAAGCTGAACAATGTCCAAGGAAATCTTTCAAACGTGGTGTGAGCCCAAACTAAAAGTGAAGGTGTAAAGAGGGGAGGGAATAGATGGTATGTGCACGTGTCAGGCTCTGCAATGAAACCCATGGTTCTGCCCAACACGGACCCATTAGTCCATGTGGAATTGTTGGCTTGCAGGTGAATCTGTCC